CCCGCGGCTCTGGCCGCGTCACTTTTTAGCCTCTGCTCTCCTCCTTGCGGTCCTCTACCCGCTTCTCAGTTTTTCCCGGTGGACAAGCTTGAGAACCAGGTCGGAAGGAGAGCGTCTCCCAGGGCAGTCAAGTTTTCACCCTCGGGGTGCGCGAAAGGTGGCAGCTTCTGGGTTGTTCCTAGACCCTAAAGCACATAGACAGTGTGGGGACCTGAGTTGACCCGCAGTGGCCACCGGGTGCGAGGGGGAGGTGGTCCCTTCCCCAAACGATTCTGGGGCACGGAGTGTTAGAGGATTTAAACAGAGGCTAGAACTTCCTCGAAGTTAAAAGCGAGTTTCTAAGTGCCATTCTGGGCTCCCGAAGGGAAGAGTGTAGCTAGTGAGCGCGCTCACCGTCACCCAGACTCCAAAGTCCTGTTAGACACTGTCCCTGCAGAACTCGAGCAGGATTATAATTCTTGGACCTTCAGAAAAGAGGAAAAAACAAAAACAAGCAAACAAAACCCCTCACCACACCCCTTGGCTGTAAAAATTTCCCTTCCACGCACCGCTTCTGAAACGGCCAGGTTTGCACATTTCTCCCTCCCTGGGTTGACTCCTGTTTCATTATGAAGGGAGGCTGGGCTCTTGAGAAGCTTCATCGTAAGTTCCTTTCTGTGTTGCCCTTCATGTCGTCACTGTCTACTTAAGACAGCCCGCGTTTATCTTCTCTTTTAGAAACACTCTGTCCTATAGGGTTGCTGTGAGTCGGAATCAACTCGATGGCAACAGGTTTGGGTTTTTGGGTTTTAAGCACACGCATTGCTTTATTGCTCTCACATATTAACTAAGTGGTGACTGGGGCTGTGGGGAGGGAGCTGCAGAGGAATGATCTTCAATACGATGAAATGACAGATCACAACTGTAATTTACTCGCACACGAAAAGCAACACAACTCCGGTTTCTACTTTTGGGTTTGCCCCCCCCCCCCCCGGGGACTTGGTAATTCGGTGTAACCAACCCATTGATTTATTCTGAGCAGGGAACTCTTTGCTCTAGTAAAAGGCAGTGCCCAGAAATGAATACATTCTAAAGTATTTCACAGAATCTCCATTCCAGAAGCTTTCTTTTTTAACATTAAGGGAAAACTTGGACATGCCTGGCAAAGAAAAAGAAGAAAACTGGAATTTTCTTTTCACTTTAGAGGTTGGTGAAACTATGGGTTCCTGTAGGGTGACTCCAGAGAAGTGCTCTCCCTCTCTTGCAGGGCAAGTGAGGGTTGCTGAAGGAGGCCCCAGGTATGGAGTCTCAGCTCAGAGCTTGCTAACCAGTGTTGGGATGGAATCCCATTAATTTATTTGTGCAACAGTTTCTCCAGCTGCAAAATGGAGAGTCTTGGCTCCAATTTCCACATATGAATTGAAGGGGAAAAAATCATTTAAAAAGCCTAAACCTGCGATGTTAGCTGCAGTAATGAGCCCGACTCATTGCCGATGAGAAAGCCCAGCAACTCTAGAGGACAGTTTTAAGTAGAGGTCCTACAAGATGACCCCCTACTCCCCCACCGTCTTCGGCACAGTGAGGACTGCGGGGAGTGGAGGGTAGAAGGGTTGAGGAGAAGGCCACATGATTTCTCTGGTCAAGAGTTCCGGAAGGGATTGAGGATTGAGCTGGGCCTTGGGGAGAGGAGAAAGGAAAGGTAAAGGAGAAGAATGATGTGACTGAACAGGACTGAGGAGAGGTGAAGATGCTTTGACCGCTCAGATGAGATGGGATGCAGGGCCTCTTCACCTCCAGGAGCTGCAATACCTTCCATTTACATTGCATTTCTATTACGCAAAGAATGTGCTGCCTCATTTCATCCTCTCCACAACCCTGTGCTATTACCTACTTTCTACTGATGTAGAAAGGAGTTCTGTTTGTGCAATGGTTAAGCTCCCCACTGCTAACTGAAAGGTTAGCAGCTAGAACCCACCAAGACTTTCCACGGGAGAAAAGACCTGGCGATCTGCTCTTGTAAAGATTATAGCCTAGGAAACCCTATGGGGCAGCTCTACTTTGTCACACAGGGTTGCTATGAGTTGGAATTGAGTCAACAGCACACAACAATAATTGATAATAAAACCCAACTACCCTTGACTTCTCGGTTTCCCTCAACCCTACATCCTCACCAAGCTCTGCTTCTACCCTGGAAATAGATCTCAAAGTTCTCCACTTCTCTCCATCTCCACTGCATCCCCCATATAAAGACCATAATACCCCTTCTGGGCTACTGCAATAACCGTCCTAGTGGTCTCCCCACGTTTACTTTTGCTCCCTCTCAGTTCCATGCTCCATCACACAGAAGCCAGAGTGGCAATGAAGGATAGTGATCCCTGAGAAGGAAAAAGCAAGGCAAACTCTACAGTTCCCCCAGCTTACTGCCTTGAGAGCATTTCCAGATTGTGACACAGGAGGCGGACAGACAGAGCCCAAAGGACTCCTTGAGTGGAGGAGGCGGCTGAGAGCCCCAGGAGACCAAGGCACGATGGAACTGAAGAAGAGAGAGCTACAGTCAATTTGTGCCACCTTCCTGAAGTCACTGTGATACTTTCATCTCCGACCATCTCTGTGCTTTCTCTCCTGCTCACAGACCTTCCAGCAACAGTCATTGCCACCACCACCAGTTGCCGCTGAGTCAGTTCCGACTCATGGTGATCCCATGTGTGTCAGAGTAGGACTGTGCTCCATAGGGTTTTCAGTGGCTCATATTTCAGAAGTAGATCACCAGGCCTTTCTTCCAAGGTGCCTCTGGGTGGACTCGAACCACAAACTTCCCATTAGCAGCTGAGCACGTAACCATTTGTGCCACCCAGGGACTTCTTCACTTCCATCACTACCTCCCATTTTTTCCACTTATTTCCCTTCTCTCCTTATTCAGCTCCTTTTACTCCTTTCGAGCCAGGCTACTTAGTGTCTTCCTTTAATGACACAGTGTGCTTATTCCTGTCTATAAGGTTTTGTAAAATTCCACCTCCAAAAACACCCTCCTTCTTCATTTATATCAGTCGTATCTACAATCATTTAAAAAATACAGCTCTCCATTTACCAACGGATTCCTTCACTCATGACTTACATGATTACTATACACGTTATGTATAAGGTACTGTGCTACGTGCTGCAGAGACCGCAAAGATGAATCAGACATAGTCTCTCCATCAAGGAGACTGGTAGGTTAGATAAAACCAAAAACCAAACCCATTGCTATTGAGTCAATTCTGACTCATAGTGACCCTATAGGAAAGAATAGAACTGCTACCACAGGGTTTCCAAGGAGCCGCTGGTGGGTTCAAACTGCTGACCTTTTGGTTAGCAGTCGAACTCTTAACCACTACGCCACCAGGGTTCCAAGACATTCCAAAAGGATCTACAGTACAAGATAGAAAGTGGTAGGTGGCAAGTATGAGAGAGATTCGGATAAAGTACTAGAGAAGGAAGGAAAGAAGGTGATGACTTCTGAGTAAGGCAACATGGAAAGCTTCCTTGGGACTGGGCCCTGAAAGATGGTTAGGATTTGAATGAACATGGGAAATGCTTGCTTCCCCTCCAGATCAAAACCCATTGCCATTGAGTCGATTCCAACTCATAGCAACCCTGTAGGACAGAGTAGAACTGCCTCGTAGAGTTTCCAAGGAATGGCTAGTGGGTTTGAACTGATGAACTTTTGTTCTTTTTTATTTTTTCCCCATACAAAAATTTATACATACATTGTTATGTGACCATAATTGCTCTCCCCATACTGTGACAGCACACTCCTCCTTTCCACCCCTGATTCCCCATGCCCATTCAACCAGATCCTAACCCTCTCTGCCTTCCCATCTCACCTCCAGACAGAAGCTGCCCATTTAGTCTCTTGTATCTACTTGAGCTAAGAGGCACACTCATCATGAGTATCACTTTATGTCCCACAGTCCAGTCCAATCCCTGTCTGAAGAGTTGGCTTTGGAAATTGTTTTAGTTCTGGGCTGATAGAGAATCCAGGGGCCATACTTTCTGGGGTTCCTCCAGTGTCAGTCAGACCATTAAGTCTGGTCTTCTTACCAGAATTTGAGTTCTGTGTCCCACATTTTTACTGCTTCATCAGGGACTCTCTGTTGTGTTCCCTGTCAGGGCGGTCATTGGTGGTAGCGGGGCACCATCTAGTTCTTCTGGTCTCAGGCTGATGAAGTCTCTGGTTTATGCGGCCCTTTCTGTCTCCTGGACTACTACTTTCCTCATGTCTTTGGTGTTCTTCATTCACCTTTACTCCAGGTGGATTGGGACCAATTGATACATCTTAGATGACTGCTTGCAAGCTTTTAAGACCCCAGGCGCCACTCACCAAAGTAGGATGCAGAACATTTTCTTAATAAGCTTTGTTATGCCAGTTGACCTAGATGTTCCCTGAAGGCACGGTCTCCAGACCCCTACCCCTGCCCACTCTGTCCCTCAAAGTGTTTGATTGTTTTCAGGAAACTTCTTAGCTTTGGTTTAGTCCAGTTATGCTGACTTCCTCTGTAGTGTGTGCTGTCTTTCCCTTCACCTAAGATAATTCTTATCTACTATCTAGTTAGTAAATAACCCTCACCCTCCCTCCCCACCCTTGTAACCATAAAAGAATGTTTTCTTCTGTGTTTAAACCTTTTTTTGAGTTCTTATAATAGTGGTCTTATACAATATTTGTCCCTCTGTGACTAAATTCACTCGGCATAATGACCTCCAGCTTCCTCTGTGTTATAAGATGTTTCACAGCTTCAACGATTTTCTTTATTGTTGCGTAGTA